ATAATTTAGTGATAATTTTATCCGATGATGAAATTTTGTTAACAACCGTTTTACAAGAATATTTTCATGGGACAATATTTTCTTGAGAATGTTCCTAGAGCTAACCATTGGCCTAGAATATTACCTGGAATCAACTAATTCTTCAGAATATTTCCAGGGTATTTTAATAATATCATAAGAATATTAACCGATAACAATCATTTCACATGAAAGTTTTCCGAAGAAAATCGTTTAACAAGGATTTTCCGGGAAGACAACGTAAGAACATTTCCTAAAGATAATCTTTTAAAAAATAGTCCCCGGGACCATTATTTTTTGATAATATTAAGAACCCCAATTGCTCAATTTTCAAGTCAGTGCATTTGCTTTCATCGAGCCAGCGTCATTATTATCTGCAAGCTTAAGATAAGATTATTGATATATTAAGATATGATTAATCAAATTATTAAGATTATTATTATTATTATTATTATATAATCTTATTAAGATAATATAATATTAAGATAAGATTAATAAAAAGATATTATTAAGACAATAGCGCGACTCCTGAGGCTTTAAGTGAGAAGTTCTAAGGAACTTGCCGGGCCGTGAAGTTCTTGGAGAAAATACAGAGCAATTGATGCAGGTATGCGCTAAGGAGATACAAAACAAATCAAAGAGAGCAGACACAACAAAATGTATTGAAAAATGACTGTCGATTACGATATTTTTTATCGGTATCATTGCAACAAAAAAGTTTTCCTTTTGTATTTATTCATAACATAAACTCTAAATAAAAATAACTTTAGAAATTTCAATCAGGTGAATTTTTCTTTTTCTGATTCCTTTTTTGATATGCCATCGGCATATATTATTTCGTTTAGTAACAATCTTGCATGCTCTGAGTAACAACCTAAAATGATCAACTGTTCCAGCAATAGAAGGCTCAGCGCTTCTATCATTGGCGGCTTCATCAACTAAAAGAATTCATTCAGATTTAGCAATTCAATGCTCCTGATCACGCCTGCCAGAGGCAGCGATCCCTTCAAACAATGCCAACAAACGAGCTTAATTTGCTACAGCTTTTAAGGGAGGGTAACAAAAATACACTATATGCACTCAAGGCAGTAATTTCAAATCACAACTTGGTTGTAAAACTTTGCATCGAATCGCTGCACTTCAGCAAGCGTGAACACGAGTAAAAAAAGGTTGGTCCAATTAAATAGCTCATTAACACTTATGAAACTAATCAAGTCAATTCCAGGGTGATTCATCCCGCGCCGATAACACACACAAGGTGGCCAGCACGCAGTAATAGAACTTCATTCGCAGAACGTTGCTGCACGGAACGTAATTCTGCTAATAGCCTGTGAATGGAGAGTTGATTGGGGGCTTCAGAGTCCAGCTTCAGAGTGACTGCAGAGTTGTAAGCCAGTTTATGAACGCAAGCAAATAGAGACGCAAATCAGGACACACTGTCTCACATGCTAGCAATATATGCTCGCGGCGCACTCCTCTCCAATTGCATTGCTAAGCCTAGGAAATTCAGCCAACAATCCAGGGCACCGCCCGCACAGTTTCTATGGCAGCCGTGACCTATGCCTGGCTGTGGTAGCCTGCTCGTCTGGCATGACTTATGCCAGGCTGCGGTGGCCTGCTCTTCTGGCATGAATTATGCCAGGCTGAGGTGGCCTGCTCATCTGGCATGAATTATGCCAGGCTGAGGTGGCCTGCTCATCTGGCATGAATTATGCCTGGCTGAGGTGGCCTGCTCTTCTGGCATGGATTAGTTACAGGCTGTTGAGAGAAATAGTTGTCTCTCGTGAAACATGAATGAATGAATTACTCTTCGTGAAATGAATTGACGCGATCAAGAATGTTGGTGTTGAAATGAATAATGTAACAACTACAAATACAGTAGGGTAACATGGGGCAGCGAGCCCACTGCGGGTCACGGGCCCATAGCGGGTTTCTCGCTAAGTATGGCAGATATTGGTCCGTGTTCTCTACCGCCGGTCGACAGTTTCACTGGGATGAAGTCCTGAGTAGGTGAAGGCCTGAGTAGGCGAAGGCCTGAGTAGGCGAAGGCCTGAGTAGGTAAAGGCCTGAGTAGGTAAAGGTCTGAGTAGGTGAAGGCCTGAGTAGGTAAAGGCCTGAGTAGGTAAAGGCCTGAGTAGGTGAAGGCCTGAGTAGGTGAAGGCCTGAGTAGGTGAAGGCCTGAGTAGGTGAAGGCCTGAGTAGGTGAAGGCCCGAGTAGGTGAAGGCCTGAGCAGGTGAAGGCCTGAGTAGGTGAAGGCCTGAGTAGGTGAGATGTGGGTGAGCTAATAACTGCCTGGCTGCGCTAGTCTTGCAAATGACAATCTGGTGATGAACGTCCAATCACGCAAGTAGTCAGAGCTTCATTCAGTGATGAATAAATGAATAGTTATGGATAGTGATCCAGTGATAGATAAATGAGTGAGTGGTAAAAGTGCGGAGAATAATCGAGGCTGAAATTCAAGTTTGCATATCTCATGGCTCATGTCACGGCTCATGTCACGGTTCATGTCACGGTTCATGTCACGGTTCATGTCACGGTTCATGTTATGGTTCATGTCACGGTTCATGTCACGGTTCATGTCATGGTTCATGTCACGGTTCATGTCACGGTTCATGTCATGGTTCATGTCACGGTTCATGTCACGGTTCATGTCACGGTTCTTGTCATGGTTCATGTCATGGTTGATGTCACGGTTCATGTCATGGTTCATGTCACGGTTCATGTTATGGTTCATGTCACGGTTCATGACATGGTTCATGTCATGGTTCATGTCACGGTTCATGTCACGGTTCATGTCACGGTTCATGTCACGGTTCATGTAACTACCGTGGGCTGCAACAGTCACCAGTAATGAGGCTTGACGGAGGTCGACCAACAATGACAACGATGGACACGTTATATGACAAATAACGTTGACATATACTCTGTATTATATGACAACGTTAAATGACATATAACGTTGTCATTTTATAACGTTGGCGGCAAATCATTTACGCAATGAAGAGGTATAATAATGAATAAGTATTTAGAGGACTCATTGGCTGAATTACATCGATTAGACAAAAATGGACTTATAAGAAATTGAGACGGTAGAACGTCAAAAATTTTGTATAATTTTAACGCCTAATTTCATACTTATGATATATACAGCATATTTTTGGTATGATATCTCTTTTTAGTGAACGTTATACTAATGTAACATGTTCGAAACTCACTTGCCGACATTTTTACGATTTCTTAGTTCCCTCACTATCATGCCATACAAGCTCGGTGGAATCAGAGATCCCGATAAGCTTTTCGTTAAAAAAATAACAATATTAGATGCCACTATCATGCATTCAACAAAGATGCCATTATCATGCATATTACATAGATGCCACTACCATGCAAGCTACATAGCTGTCACTATCATGTATACTACATAAATGGCACTATCATACATACTACATATATGCCACTATCATGTATACTACATAGATGCCACTTTCATGCATAGTACCAAGAAGCTCATTTCATGCAGACGTCATCGGCATACCATAGAGTTTGCCGATGTATTCATCATTCAATTAACATCATTCATCATAGCAGTATCCCTCATTCTGTTAAAAAAATGTGATGAAAGCGGCCGTGCAATCATTGAGATCAACATGACAAGTTATTCCGCTTTATTCTGTAAAACAATTCCCTGAAGATAACATTTAACTATCTAAATGAACATGAACTTTAGCTGGAAATTTGTATTGTGTTCGCTGTTGATGGAAAAATATATTAACTCTGAAAGTGTGCATATTTTTACTACAGTTATTGTTTACAGCTGTAGGAAACATAGCGTAAGAGCGAATATCAGTAGAAGAATAAAAAGTGGAAAACAATAGAACAAATTCACAGTTTCAACGTTGAATAGATTTATACTGAGACTACAAAGAAATTTTACAACAACTAGCGCTTTGTGTCCATGCAGGAGTTCCAAGGACAAGAACGTAGTTAGAAGTAATACGTTAGATTAGAAGTGCTACATTAGAGTAAACAACTGGCATGGACAGACCTCGCTCATGACACGCGACACGGACAACTGTGATTAGGACAGAGTCGGTCGAACTGAGTCGGTGGAACAGAGTCGGTGGAACAGAGTCGGTCGAACAGAGTCGGTGGAACAGAGTCGGTGGAACAGAGACGGTGGAACAGAGTCGGTGGAACAGAGTCGGTCGAACAGAGTCGGTGGAACAGAGTCGGTCGAACAGAGTCAGGGGAACAGAGTCGGTGGAACAGAGTCGGTCGAACAGAGTCAGGGGAACAGAGTCAGGGGAACAGAGTCGGTGGAACAGAGTCGGTCGAACAGCGTCGGTTGCAGTGATGGATCGCTCAGGGGTGGCAGGGCCAGGGTAAAATGATGCCTCATGTCCACGTAACGTGAACATGTGCAAGCGATGCACATGCAGCTAATCAAACTTTCACTGACTTCTCAGACTTTTCTCTGTGACCAACAATTTATTGATAATAGAAATTGACGAAGTATTCTAGTTTCTGAATTAATTCCCATGAGCTTGGAGCACATATTGTAAATTGATATGTATTGTTTTACGTCATAACATAAAATAAGTACAAAATAAATATTATTAAGTATTGCTTTACGTCATAACACAATATAAATACAAAATAAGCAGTAAGGAATCAAAAACAGTTCGAGTTGTAGGAGAAAGGATCCAGATCCAAGTGGAGGATAGAACACGTAGGATCCAAATGGAGGGTGGAACACGTAGGATCCAAGCGGAGGATGGAACAAGTTGGATCCAAGTGGAGGATGGAACACGTAGGATCCAAGTGGAGGATGGAACACGCAGGATTCAAGTGGAAGATGGAACACGTAGCATTTTAATTATAAAGCGAACAAAGATGGCTAACCAAGATGCACGGCGACATGCAGGTAATAATAAAACTTGATGACCATCATTGCATAATTAATTAAGTCGTGATTACTCACCTGGCTGCCATGCTAGAGGCGCTTCTCTATCACTAGGCGGTGCTAGAGTGCTAGGAAGAGTGCTAGTAGTAGTGGTGCTAGTTGTAGTGCTGGTGGTGGTGGTGGTTGTGGTGGTAGTGGTGGTGGTGGGGGGTATCTCTGCGAATATAGAAAATATTACAGGTTATGATTACGAGTAAATCTATTAATGAATAACTCAAGGGAATTGATGACGACTCCTTAATTAGCACAAAATTTTCTAAAAAATCAATGATTGGCAAGAAAAGCAATTAGAAGAGAAAGACTTCAAAGTTTAATCTTCCAATCATTAAAAATCGATAGTTTGTGGAAGCCACTCAAAGCTTCTAAAAATGTTCAACTGAAAATGAAGCATTTATTGAATAAGCTGAAATAAGTATTGTTTACATGGAAATAAGTGCATATGAGAAATACATATATTAGAGTTTATAAAGTTTCAACAAGAGATGTTACATTATAAGTAATAACTAAACTCGCTGTCATGCTTTACATGTTGATAAATTTTATATAAAGTGATCTTCTGAAAAGTGAATAAGGCATTTAATGATTAAGGTTAAAGAAAAGTAATCGATGGCATGTAGATTGAAAAACACCATCAAGCATAAAAATTTTCATAAGGCTTTCAAACTTCATTTGACTGAGATTTTAAACTAAAATATTTAGCCTTGATAGCTGAAAAGAGTGCTAATAGTGTTAATTTTACTTAAAAACGAAAATGGTGAGATCGGAAAACTTTCCGATAAAAGATGCGCCGAAATCGCAGCTCAGCATAAGATAGCTGAAGAAAAATTCACTACACACTATCCGTCGATAATTACTAAAATTAAATTATAACGTATCGGTTTCATAAAATAATTGGTCGAACGCGTTCATGTACGCTCAAGTTATAACCAACTAAACATTTTATCAAAGAAAAATATTTTCAGAAAATAATTCACATTATAAATTGATTACTGGCGTGGACGTCAAGTTTTGCAAGAAATCTGAATAAATAAAATTTAGTTTTGCAGCGCCTGAAGGAACGTCATGGTATCAAGGCGATGCACTAAGCCTTTGATCAGCCAGCAGCCATTACGAGCCTCATTAAATGCGAATTGTGATCCACGAAAATTAGCAGACAATTGCGATCTTTACTTGTGTCGGCACCCGCTAGCATAAGTTTTGTGTGACTTTAAGTGGCTAACGCATGAGCAAAATTTATTTAGGTTTACAATAATACGTACGATCATCATTGATGGAAACTCGATGGAAATAATGGAATTTTTGAGTTTATTTATATTGATGATTGTCAGGTATGGTCGAATAAAGTCTTCAACCAAATAATTTTCTTTTGATTGAAGTGCCGTTAAAATGAAACGAAATTTTGTCCGGAGGTTAGAAAGACCATTGCCATTTTCTATTTAATGATGGAAGATGACGGAGTTCACACGAATTCACGAGTTTCAAATCGCTTAATTATCACCAAACAGTTTAAAAGGTTGAGAGAGTAGAGAGGGTTACGAGGCTTGTGACGGTTGAGAGGGTTGAGAGGGTCGGAAGGGTTGCGACGGTTGAAAAGGTCGAGAGGGTTGAGAGGGCTTAGAGGGTTGAAAAGGTCGAGAGGGTTGAGAGGGTTGAGAGGGTTGAGAGGGTTGAGAATGTTGATATTCACAGTGGGTGTCAGCTCGGCTGCTTCGGGCAATAGCTGACAAATAATAACAGTCACTTTTGCCGCTAATAGCTCCGCCATGACAGGCTTTAAAGTTTCCTGACTGAACTTTTCAAGGCTGAAGGTGATTCGTCTTCTATTCATCAATTTCCCTCTAATGTTATCATCAGAAAAATTAACGAGAAAATGAAGATATGAAATGAATCCACAAAGAAGAAGCAAATTAAGGTTTTTCGAAGAAACGAATTGCGTTTATTTAACGTTATAAAAAATGGCGGCTAACAGCCAAGGAAATGGACCTTGGGATATTTAAATGAATTTGTCAATATTGTGACCCAGTTTTCTTACCCAAAACACGAGCAGAAAGAAAACGGGCGTAGCACTGATACGACATTTTGTCAAGCCAAAATGGGTCAGGATGACCCGTACCAGAGCAAATGTGTTTGCAATTCGGACAAAGTCTCCCTAATTTTTCTGAGTGAAGGTTTGCAGGCGAAGGTATCTGCTTAAGAAATTGATGGTTCTTCACGGCCGGCAGCTAATGCGGCAGAGCGTCTGGTCGCCATGGCAGCGTCGAGAGGACTAATGACACAGACTACCCTTAATTACCATTGTAATTGCCACTGTTCCTGAGCATTTAATGTAATTCGTCCTTTTTAGGGCATTTTTTTCACTACGTACTTAATCGTGTAATCTGGAATTATTGTAATACAATGCGACTGGATTGTCTATTTTAATTTATGTATAGGCTACGAGTGGACGCATGTACCAAATACGGCTTACTTATATCCACGTATTTAATGTATATTTCATGATCTTTTACTTGGTGAAAGCCTTACTCGCTAAGAAATCAAATTTGATAATATACTCAAACATACTTTTGCAACTAAAATCGTTTATTATTAGTCGAGAATTCAAGTGAATGTGAACTAATTGCCACGTTAACTCATGTATAAAAACGATTCAATTTTAGGGCGACGCAAAAAAAATTAATTAAATTAAAGCATATAACTGATGTTCATGAGTTATTAAGCTATTCCCAATAATTTTGAGGATAATAAATAATTTTAACAATCAAACATTTTGATCTTTCAGAAAATTAATTAACTTCGGATTTCGTCAATAAACATTAAATGCCATTATCAATGAAATCAAATTTCGAGCACTAATACAGAATCGAAAGAGGGCACTTTTGATGTTACGCAATTACCAATTTATCAATATTAATTTTTTGAAAACCAAAGCTAAAAAATGTGTCTTCAAAATTAAAGTCAAAATCTCAACAGTCAGTAACCTAAGGATGATTAAAGTATTTTTATTGATGTCTAATGAGTTAATAATGTAGAAATTGAACAAAAACTATGACGGCAGTTTGGGAGGCGCTAACTCATAGATTACACTCAAAATAATAAATGGGTGATATTCTTTCAAATAAGTCACACTTTCTGCACGCATCACTAATACGCTCGTATGACAGGCCAAACTGGATAAGGGTGACCCACGTGAGAGCCAAAACTTGCATTGGTATTTGGACAAATTCCCCTCATTTCTCAGAGTGTTAACGGCACGTGTATACACAAAGGGGGAATCTGCTGCTGCTGGCGCCGATTTGGCAAGTCTTGGGCCGAGCGCATAGCTTTGCCAGGTCCGATTAAGAGCGTCTGAGTCAAGGAAGCTTTCAATTACTTCGAAAGTCAGCAAGAGAGTCTAGCTTTAATGACTTCGTTCCAGTGAGCGGATTTGCTTCGGAGGATTGAAGTCGTCGGAGCAAACGCAAACTGCGGACTAGCGGCCGCCCAAGATTTGCGCAACGAACCTCCGCATGCCAGTGATTGGAAAAATGATCCATGAATTGAAGTAGCGACTTGAATCGAGTTAACACGCCGTGTTTTTTGGGGCTAAAACGTTAATTTTACGAGGGTCATTCTAGGGATTATTTCTTTGAAAAATTCTAAATCTATTTTAGCATTTTAGCAAACGAATTTTCTGAAATGCTTTAGACTCTCCTTCCCTCCTTTAATTATCTGCGGAATGAAAAAATACTTTTAGTGACTCTAGCTTTAGAAAGGTTTTGTATGGGAATGATAATGACCCAATTACACAAAATTATTCCGTCATGTACGACGAACACTGAATATGTATTTCTTTAGTTTAAATATCTAGCTTATTTTTTAGAAAGTGTAGAAACACATAAATTAAAGAATATAACTATACTTTTGCATTAAAAAAAATTATTTATTTACAGCGGTCTTAGAAGCAAAATTAAAAATAAAATAGCAGCTTAACTAAATGAACAACACACGAGTAGCAGAACTCTGAAATTAACAGCAGAAATGCAGCTGAAAGGTAGAATAAAAATTAAAACAAAAGGCAGGAATAAACAGCAGAAGTGATGAAAAAAGCTAAAATCCTGAGTTGTCAGCGGCCACGACGATCATGAAGGATTAGGTCACGCCAGCTGCTGCAAGTTGATCCTGCCAATACAGGCCCAGGTGGCGGGCCGTTCTTCGCTCATATTAAACTTTAGATATTTTAGAATATGAATTTTATTACTATTAGATTATTTAGAATCATAATTTTGTTAGTAAAGTGTTCAACATGTAAATACCGCTCACCAATAAGCAAGGACCAAAACTAGATTTGAGAGGAATAACGTACTGGATATGAAAATAATTCATTGATAGGTACGATAGGTACCTAAAAATTGCAAGAGTATGTCAAAAAATGTTCTGCATTTATACCATGAATGTATGAGGATAGCTATGGACGTACACTGAGCGGTGCTCAGTGTACGTCAATAGAATAAATTCGATTAGCAAACGACCTCGATATTTTACTGTTGACAGAACGATAAGTAAAAGTAGGATATCGATTTAATGCAGTCATGTCAATAAGAAAAATAGATTAAAAGCCAAGAAATCGTTGAGAAACATTAACGGCTGAAGCAAAATAAATATTAATAAATTGTGCAGCCATCGTGACGGTATCGAGAGTGCATTAAAGTTTTTTTTCAAATAAATTACCTTATTAAAGTAACAGCTTGTAGGCGCTCGTAAATAAGACTTTAAGGTCTAATAAATTTTGTTAAGGGCTGTGCATATCTCAAGCATTTAAGACCTTATAAAATGGCTGCACGGTGTCAGGTCGCCGTACCGAAGGCTTCTTAATACTTTACTGACGGACGACGAGTGCTTCACGGCCGTGAAAATTACATCGGAAGCTCGTAAAGCTTCGCAACGACCGACCACATTAAAAAAGAACCAAGATAAGCCACGTCATCTTGATCAGACTCGCGCTATTTATTATTGATGACGCTATTTATTCACACTGACCACGCTATCTATGATCGCACTGATGAAAAGTGAAATATGTTCTCATAACTAAAGGAATTAACTATTTACGTTGGCTTTTATTGATA